TCTCTCTCTCTCTCTCTCTCTCTCTCTCTCTCTCTCTCTCTCATTCCGTGGGTAAACAAAAATATCCTGCCATGTCAACGTAAACCCGATCCTAGCTTCATATCTTTCTTTTTCTGGGCCTCAGTTCTTCCCAGTATATCTGTCCATGCACACTGCGAACCGTGATATCGCATATATTCTAGGAATGCTTGTAGCTATGTTCATTATGAAACACAAATGGCCGAATCGTAGAACGACTTTTTTGCAAATACAAAAACATAGAAGTACAGTATGTTTAAACGATATCCAAGTCTTCATTTTATTATTAGGTTCTTTTCTACTGTTCAGCAATGATGATGATGATGATGATGATGATGATGATGATGATGATGATGATGATGATGATGATTTTTTTTTTGTTTCCTTAATGAGCCTGGCGGACTCCACAAAGAAATTTTCGAGCGAGAGCGAGGCTCATTTTCGGCTACATTGTCAATATGCTTTAGCGGCACCTCCACTCGTCCAAATAACTCCCTTCGAATTGCCATTGTTGATGATGTTCACCTGGGGAAGCTCTAATGATGATGATGATGATATTGATGATGATGATGATGATGATGATGATGATGATGATGATGATGATGATGATGATGATGATGATGATGACGACGATGAACATCCAGGCCTATACGAGCATCTGATTAAATGTGACCAACCCTATTCAAGTCTCAAGTTTATTTTTTTCTACTCTAAAAGATGATGTGGTAAGACTTTTACCTTTGGGTTTCCCTTTCTTTGTGCTGTTGAAATTGATTGTACATCTACGCCTCCCCCCCCTCCCCCCCTTCCCCTTTTCCAAATTTAATTTATGCCATTTCTGCGTGAGCTTTAAACACTATGTGTGATCAATTTTAACCTATCTATACGCTCAGCCAGGATTATGGCAGTAACGACTTAGCTTTTCTTTTTCCGAGCTTCGTCTCTTTCCGATATTGTCCAAATCGCACCAAAACCTAACTTATAGTGAACGCTTTGTTGCTATGGCGTCATCACTTATTCTGTTTTCTCAGACATACTAAGTTCCTGATGAAGCCTAATTGGCGAAACGTTGAACATCCAGGCCTATACGAACATCTGATTAAATGTGACTAACCCTATTGAAGTCTCAAATATATTTTTTGTACTTTAAAAAATGATGATGATGATGATGATGATGATGATGATGATGATGATGATGATGATGATGAGGATGAGGATGAGGATGAGGATGAGGATGATGATCTCAGGAGGATGTCTTTTATGTGTATGTAGAATACTTGTTTTGAAAATTCTTTTAATAAATTGTTACTTTTGTGTTTCTTTCAGAGATTTCACTGAAAGAAATGTGAGGGTGGGGGGAGGGGGGTTGAACTGCTTTTTTAGGGTGAGGGTGGATTGTAAAAGGCGGGGGGGGGGGGGAGTTCTGCTTTTTGGGTGAGGGTGGATTGATAAGGGGGGCGGGGGGAGTGTACTCACCTCCATAACCCTCTGACACGACAATACTGTCTCCAGACTTGAGCAAATAGATCACCGTGGATAAAGCACCCAGGCCCGAGCCAAATACAAGACCTGTGAGGAAACAGAAATTTGTCTCTTAGTTTTAGTTTTAGTAGAGGTTTTACGCAACTGCATAAGGTCATATGAGCGCCAGAAGATTAGAGGAGTTACAAGAGAGTAACAAACATAAAAAGAAGAAGGGGAGATATGGACGATAGATGTTTGATAGGAAAGAAGAAGCAAACCACACCAGAGGACCCACCAACCACTCACAATGTGTCTCTTAAATCTCCATAGTTTGTTGGGGGGGGGGGGAGAGGGTTAAAGCTTGCTTTTCTTTCTGAGCAACTAAGATACAGATAAACTTTTTACACATAATATAGTGTGGATTTATTTTTTCAAAATGTTACCATGCGAGCTGCTGATAGTGTCATTTCTGTTTCATGTACTGTTTTAAGAGTTATCTCTCCAGGAATTCATCGAAGTATGTTTTTATCGTGGAGAGAGAGAG